GTTGGTCGGAACTGGCGTGTCGAGGACCGACGCGCCGGCGGATTCCGTGACGAACGGACGTACGCAAACTGGGATGCAGGATTCAGTTCTCATGGCACAAGGGTGGATAGGTGGAACATTTCGTTCAGCGGTGAGGACGAGCGGAACCACATCGAAGGCTTCCTGTTTCGCTTGGAGTACCTCCAGAGGCAATCGCGTTGCTCATGGGCCGAGGTGATGAGAAATTTCCACACGCTGCTAACAGGTAGGGCAGCTACGCCGAGCGCTGCTAGATCGGTTCCAGAGCCATGAGACGGAGCATCATCGGATGCATCAGCTACTGCAGCGGGAGCAGCAACCTGGGGAGAGCGTAGACGATTATCTGCATGCAATGCAAACCCTTGCTTCTCGCCTGAGGAAGCGGATGCCAGAGCGTCACCTGGTTAAGGTGATGAAAAAGGGGTTAAGAGAAGAGATCGCTCGCTTCATGTATGCGATGGAGCTACTCACTGTGGATGAACTGCGGCAGGAGAGCCTCGAGGTGGAGCGTACCTTCGGACGCAGAGCTCGTTCCCAATTCCCACCACCAACGCGCTACCAAGGAGCGGAACGGAACCGAGTCCGCGAGGCGTTTGCTCCAGAGCCAGAGGAGGATGAAGACGAGCAACCACTGCAAGTGCAGGAAGTCCGGGAGCGGCCTCGAAATCCTTTCCGGGCTGGCTGCTGGAATTGTGGAGTCATGGACCACGGTTTTCGGGACTGCGGGCAGGAGCTGAAAAAAGTTTTCTGTTTCCGTTGCGGAAAGGCCGACACCGTCGCTCCGAAGTGCCCGAATTGTATGGGAAACGGACGGCGGGGCGATCCCAGAGTGGAAGGGGCTAGCCCAACGAGGAATTCCGCGCAGTAGGAGACCCTAAAAATAACAAGATAGACGTTAAGGATAATTCTAAAAATAATTTAAGATACTTACCCTATGAAGAGCGCATGCGACGGTATTTAGAGGTCAGGAACCGTATATTCGAGGAGCATCAGCTGAGCGGCATGGCTGAAGTCTCCTGGACGGTTCGAAAGGCACGAGATCGGTTCCGGAAACGCCAGCGGAAGCGCCGAGAAGTCGTCGCGGCCGTCAAGCGGGGCGGCACCCAGGATCCCAGACCGTTCGCCCGAGTAAAGATTTCAGGCCAGCAGCTGACTGGGTTGTTGGACACCGGAGCGAGCGTCAGTCTGCTCGGAAAAGGCTGCAGGGAACTGGTGGACGCGATGGGTGTGCCGGTGCAGAGGTACTTCTCGGTGGTGCGAACTGCCGCTGGAGAGGATCGATCGATCATCGGCCGAATAAAGGTACCTGTGGAGTATGAGGGAAGGGTAGAAAACATTCATTTCTATCTGTGCCCTTATCTGGAACAAACGGCATACCTCGGCGTCGACTTTGGGCGGGCGGTTGACCTGGCTCCGACCGTAATTGGAGATATCCCGGTTCAAGGGGTGAAGAAAGCCGAAGAAGTTCACGCCAGGGAGATGGAGCACTACGCCGACCAGGAAGATGACGACGAGGAAAAGACAGACCCCGAATCCTGGACATTATCTGAAGCCGAGAACCGAGAGCTAGAGGCAATCAAGCAGAGGTTCCTCACCTTCGAGAAGGATGGTTTGGGAACGACTGGCCTGGAGAAACACTCCATAGAGCTGGTGGAAGGCGCCAAAATTTTCAAGGACCGTCCCTACCCAATGTCGCCAGCGAAGCAAAAGGTGGTCGAGGACGAAGTCGACAAGATGCTAGCCCTGGGAGTCATCGAGGAAAGCAAGAGCCCTTGGAGCAACCGGACGACGGTGGTGTCGAAGCCTGGAAAGGATATATTCTGTTTAGACGCCAGGAAACTAAATGACGTGACCGTCAAGGACGCTTACCCCTTGCCCAGTATCGATGGAATCCTGTCCAGAATCGATCAAACGCATTTCATCTCCAGCGTGGATTTGAAATTTGCGTTCTGGCAGATCGAACTGGACGAGAAGAGCAAGGAGATGACGGCGTTCACAGTTCCTGGTCGGCCCCTCTACCAATTCAGGGTGATGCATTTCGGGCTCTGTAATGCGGCACAGAGGCTGGTGAGACTCATGGATCGAGTAATCCCAGCCGAGATCCGATCCAACGTTTTTGTATACTTGGACGATCTGCTCATTCTGGCCCCGGACATCGAGACGCACTTCCGATACCTACGACGGGTCGCCGAATGCCTAAGAGAAGCAGGATTAACTATCGGCATGAACAAATCTAAATTCTGCTTCAAGTCTTTGACTTACTTGGGTTTCGTCGTGGTTGGAGGTCGTCTGAGCACGGATCCCGGTAGGGTGGCGGCAATCAGGAGGATGCCGGAGCCGAGGTCGATGAAGGAGGTGCGCGCGTTTCTGGGAACAGCAGGCTGGTATCGGAGATTCGTTCGAAACTTCGCAACGCTAGCAGCGCCGTTGACCGAATCCCTCAAGAAAACTGGGAACAAGTTTTCCTTGAGTCCGGAAGCGCAGCTGGCGGTTGAAGCCTTGAGGATGGCACTAACCACGGCACCTGTACTGGTGCACGCCGATTTCAAGCGGCACTTCTATATTCAGTGTGACGCATCACACATCGGGGTTGGAGCCGTTCTCTTCCAAAAGGACGAGGACAACCAGGAGCAGCCGATAGCATTCTTTTCGGTGAAGATGAACAAGCACCAGGTGAATTAAACCGTCACCGAGAAAGAGTGCCTGACAGCCCTCCTGGCGATCCGGAAGTTCCGACCATACGTGGAAGGCATGCCGTTTACGTGCATCACGGATCACGCCAGCTTGAAATGGTTGATGTCCATGAAAGATCTGTCGGGACGCCTGGCCAGGTGGTCTCTGCAGCTCCAGGGATTCAATTTTACCATCGAACACCGGAAAGGCAGCGAGAACGTGGTGGCAGACATGCTTTCGCGATGCGCGGAGGAGATCTCTGTGGACCTGACAGAGTTGCTGGGTTTTGAGACCACCGAATTTGATGGAAAGGAGTGCCAGGAGTTTGTCCAAGAGATCCCGGGCAACACGGATTACTTACCGGATCTTAGGATCGAGGACGGGCTCATCTTCAAGCGAACCTCCCCGGCAACTTTGGACGACGAGGTGGACGGATCAGCGTGGAAGCTCTGGATACTGCCGAGTCTGACCCACAGCCTGGTAGAGCGAGCCCATGCGGACCCAAAGGCAGCTCACGGCGGAATGGGGAAGACACTGGAGATCCTTCGGCGGCAGTTCTACTGGCCCGGAATGGTGCTCCAGGTTCGGGAATTTGTTCGAAGATGCCAGGTCTGCAAGGAGTCGAAGGCGCCGAATCACCGTATGATGGTCGGAATCGGTGAGCGAGTACAGACGGAGCGGCCATTCCAGAAGCTGTACATCGACTTCCTTGGCAAGTATCCGAGGTCGAAGAAAGGGCATGCCTGGATCTTCATTGTGGTGGACCACTTTTCAAAATATACGTTCCTGAAGGCCATGAAGGAAGCGACTGGCGTGGCTACGGGCGAAGCAACGTTTTTTACGCTGTTCGGACACCACATGTTCCTGCATGGATCCAGCTACCGGTTGGCCAGGAAGCTGCAGTCTCTGTGCGGCCATGAGATGGCCGGTATGCCAACGGCTGACAAGCTCCGAGTCGTGCAAGAGAAAGTGCGCAAGTGTCTGGAGGCCTCGTACGACCGCTGTCGCCGACGCTATAACCAGAGGGCCAGAGAGTTCGCCGCAAAGCCAGGCCAGGAGGTGTATCGCCGGAATTTCGTTCTCAGCGACTTCGGAAGGCAATTTAACGCCAAGTTTGCCAGGAAGTTCCTCAAGGCCAGGGTGGTGAGGACGATAGGCAGCAACGCTTACGAGCTCGAGGACATGCAGGGCCGGAGTTTGGGTGTATACCACGCCAAAGATATCCGCGTGTGACCTGGAAGAGAGATCACAAAGTATAAATGGACCAGACACTGGAGAAAGGGTACTTCCCGTAAGACGTGGGCCCCGCGTTGGGCACCGTACGGAACTGCGCTGGAGATACAGATCCAAATGCTCCCAATGATCCTGTCGAGCCGCTGGAAGCCGGCAACAGCTCCCCATATCCTTGGGTGGTGTTGCATTTCGGGTGGGAACGGGCTGAAGGACTATCGATATATCGATAGGGATAGGTGGGATTGGTAGGACCAGGAGGGGGCGAGGAAAATAAGCGAACCCGGAAGTTCAAAGTGCCTAAGAGAAAGGGTTCTTGCCCTTTCTCTCAGCAACGGCGATGATAAAGTAACGGCTGGAGTCCGGAACAGAGGAAAAGGAACCGAGCTATAAAGGGAGGTGGGAGGAGAAAAACGAGGAGAAAAAAACTGGATGGATAACGTGGTGCGTGGTGCGGTTAACTTCGGAAAGGAAAAAAAAACGTGATCCCGGAAAGAAGTGGAGACGTGACCGATCGTTTTCCCAGTGCCGTTTCTTGAGCCGTTTTCCCAGTGCCGTTTCTTGAGCCGTTTTCCCAGTGCCGTTTCCTGAGCGTTTTCCCAGAGCCGTCGCCCAAGCTGCTGGGCACCGCGTCGTCCCCGCCGCAAGCCAAGTCCGCCGGCCCACGCAAGCGTCAGAGCAGTTTTTCCCTGAGCCGTCGCCCGAGCTGCTGGGCACCGCGTCGCCGCCGCCGCAAGCCAAGTCCGCCGGCCCACGCAACCAACAACCGTCGCCGCCGCCGCAAGCCGCCAGCTTCGGAGCCGTCGCCGCCCCTCCCGCATCCAACAACCACCGGCCAGAGTGACCGGCGCAGCCAAGTCCGCCGGCCGGAGCCCACTTCGGAGCCTTTACCGCCGCCGCAGTCCAAAGAAGACTCCAGATCTGGTGAGTCCGTTCCGCATGGGACGATACAAAGGGCGAATTGCGCATCAATTTCTGCCCAGGCAGCTGCCGCCGACCTGCGGGTAGCCCTTACCACCCGGCGCCAAACCAGGGCGAGCTGGGAGATATAAAAGAAGAAAATAAATAAATTTAAGTTGTTAGGTGTAAGACATTAGTGTTAGTGTTAGTTGTTGTTAGGTGTAAGACATTAGTGTTAGTGTTAGTTGTTGTTAGGTGTAAGACATTAGTGTTATTGTTAGTTGGTGTTCGATGTGAGGTATTAGAGTGTTGTTCTCGCCCTCCGGATTGATCGTATCCTAGGTCCGGGATTGGTGCAACCCATGCGCTGCGACCAATAGGGGAAAGGGGAAGAAGCCCTTAGCAAGTCCTCAGTTGTGTTTGAACCCCGACCCTAGACTATTTCTTATGGAGCTCCAGTAGGGATAGTAGGTGAACGAGGGAAATTTCTGGTTAGCCAATCGTGGCCAATTTGTGGACGAAGAGCTTCTCCTCCGCCAACGTTGTCGGTCCCCAATAAAGGGCAGCCTTGGTGCAAGCGCATCCCTGGCTGAGGCCACATTCTCGCCGTGGACGAGTTGGCGCCTAAACCATATTTGTAAATCTTTTAGATGTAAGATGCCAAAAATTTATAATCAATACCCAGTAAAAGTTAAGAAAATGAAAATGGAGTAAGTTTACCTGGGGGGAGATGGGCCAGTCGCTAGACCGCGTGGAGTAAGCTCCGGCGTGCCGGAGATGGGTGATGCCCCGAAAGGTGGAGGAGGCATCACTGGATGGGTGGGCGCGTAGTGGCGGAACCAGCCAAGCCACAAATTCAACCCAGCAGCTTAATTGTCGTGTTTGTTTACCTTTTTGTATTGTTAGTGCTGACACTTGTAGTTTAGTCTGAGACGTCCGATTAATTCGGTATATTCTAATTGTGCGGACTGCGGGCATTGGGTCGGACCCAGCCCTGGGCACCCTGAGCTAGCCCGGCGATGCCCAAAGAAAGGCAGTTCCGTAACAAGATACCTAACAACCAAACTATGTGGCCAAATCATTTCGGACCCAACCAATACATGAACACACAACCATTTACTCACAAAAATCCTTTTCCACAATATTCCAATAAAATTCAAAATCCTCAAACAGCATATTTTAAAGGAAATACATACCCTCAACAACAACAACCCTCTACATCTAAAAATACTAACTTCCCGGTTACCAAACGACTAAGACCATCGGACAGTGAACAAACCAAAATGTCTATTGACGAATTGAGATTTCAAGACGCACACGAACACGAATACGAAGAAATACAACCTAATTATTATGAACAACAGTATTATGACCACAATCAATACCATAGGTTGATTAATGAACAACAACAGCAACAACAGGTCCAATACACCCAAAATAAAGATGAACAAAATCTATATAGCTCAGAACCAAATGGTTAACAGCCCCGGACAACACCAATACATACAAATAGCATACAAAGGTTGCACATACAATTGCCTTATAGACACAGGATCTTCTATATATATAAAAATGAATTGCTGTTCGTTAGTCTCGCTAAAACTCGAGAATGGCTGAACGGATTTATATTATCTTGGTCTTGAATTATTCGTGGAGGTCTAGGGAAGGTTTAAAAGGTGAGAAAAATTCGATTAATTGCCGGGAAAATCCTCAAAACAGTATTTTTCTATTTCCCATACAAACGTTTTCTAATTAAAACTACCTTACATCTACCGAACTCTACAGGCAGCCAAAGCATTTCCTGTCAAACATTCAAAACATATTGAAATAAGGAATTGGAGATAAAAATTTTATTTTTTTGTTCAGGTTCAGTAAGAAACGAAGTCCTGCCACCCAAGAAGTAGAGTTTGGGTCGTCGTAAGCGTAATACAGAAGCAAAAAGACGTAAGATTACGAATATAACTGACGAAGAACGGGCCTCCATCCGAGAGACTGAGCGGCTGAGAGCAATGCAGATGCACAAAGAAGAATCAGCAGAAAGACGAGCAGATAGGCTTGAGAGAAAACGATTAAGAGTTAGACAGTCGCGTTCTGCAGCAATTTGATTCACTCTCAAAATAATGAACGCGACAGGGCAAGGGAGCTGAAGCGCGTTTACAGCTTGCAGAAGATCAGATATAATCCAACTATTGATTACAGCTCGAATCGAATGTCGTTATTGGCCGGATGCATCAGGTCTGCATATACTGTCAGGCCTCTTCGATTGAATCAGACGAAACTTCGGTCCGAGGAATATATCCATTTGAGGGATGCTGTGATGAATGCTGCAACTCTTTTGAAGGATGGCAAAACTGCTCATTCTACTTTTAAACTTCCACTATCCGTCAATCTTGAACAACAATCTACATGTTCCATCCGCAAAAATGGACCTATTGGTAAATTACTACAAGACGCCTCATTGATTATGTGGGACGAATGCACGATGAGCCATAGAGCACATATAGAGGCCGTGAACAGAACTTTACAGGATCTAAGGAACTCCTCTGCAGTCATGGGCGGGATTACTTTTGTATTTGCTGGAGATTTTCAACAGACTCTCCCCGTTATTAACAGAGGCACGCGAGCAGATATCATCGTAATACAGAAGCAAAAAGACGTAAGATTACGAATATAACTGACGAAGAACGGGCCTCCATCCGAGAGACTGAGCGGCTGAGAGCAATGCAGATGCACAAGGAAGAATCAGCAGAAAGACGAGCAGATAGGCTTGAGAGAAAACGATTAAGATCGATTTGATTCACTCTCAAAATAACGCGACAGGGCAAGGGTAGCTGAAGCGCGTTTACAGCTTGCTGAAGATCAGATATAATCCAACTATTGATTACAGCTCGAATCGAATGTCGTTATTGGCCGGATGCATCAGGTCTGCCTCTTAGATTGAATCAGACGAAATTTCGGTCCGAGGAATATATCCATTTGCGGGATGCTGTGATGAATGCTGCAACTCTTTTGAAGGATGGCAAAACTGCTCATTCTACTTTTAAACTTCCACTATTCGTCAATCTTGAACAACAATCTACATGTTCAATACGCAAAAATGGACCTATTGGTAAATTACTACAAGAGGCATCATTGATTATGTGGGACATTGGGATTAAGGACAAATATGAGAGCTCATCTTCATGGAATCACTGATAGCGATTTCCCACAGCAACTGCTAAAACTTGGGGAAGGAATTTTTCCAACTCCAAATTTAAGAGGTCATTGTGACATTCTTCTGGATGAGTCTCTAGGCCAAATACTCCATAATTTGGAAAATTTAATAGATTCTGTATACCCTGATATCGAGAATTTGCACGAAAGAGACGTCCATTGGCTGTGTTCTCGGGCTATAGTATCACCTAAGAATGATACTGTCAATGAAATAAATAATCTGATTGTTCAAAAAGTCCCCGGCCAAACAAAAACATACAAATCGATCGACACTGTAACGAATATTGAAGATGCAGTCCATTATCCACAGGAATTTTTAAATTCGTTGAACCCTTCTGGACTGCCACCCCATGAATTGACGTTAAAAATCGGAATCCCAATCATGCTTTTAAGAAATTTAAACCCTCCAAGCATGTGTAATTGGAGGAGGCTGCTTATTAAGGAGTTAAAGGACAATTTAATTGTAGCAACTATTATCACTGGCCCAGCAAGTGGTCAACTAGCTCATATACCGAGGATACCGATGATCCCAACTGATCTGCCAATCCCATTTAAACGGCTTCAATTTCCGGTAAAAACATCTTTCGCATTAACAATTAACAAGTCCCAAGGCCAAACCTTCGAATTAGTAGGGATCGATCTGCGAAATAAATATTTTACGCATGGTCAACTGTATGTTGGTCTATCGCGAGTCGGAGCCCCTGAAAATTGATTTATTTTGCTGCCACAAAATAAAACAACATCAAATATTGTTTACAGAGAAGCACTAACTAAATAAATGTAATAAACTCAATAATTGAAAAAAAAGGATGAATATGTGTCATATTATTATTATTATTATGAATGTGTTAAAATTGACTAATCTAAATGTAATGTTTAATTCCCGTGCGAAGCAGGGACGGGCTGTGAAAAGACTGATGAATAACGTCATTGAGGCGACAATCATAAAAGGAAAATACAAAGGAGAGGATGTCTTGATCCCGCGGATACCGATGATTCCAACGGACTTACCATTCGATTTTAAACGGTTACAATTTCCAGTGCGTCTGGCCTTTGCGATGACCATAAATAAATCGCAAGGACAGTCGTTAGAAGTTTGTGGAATCAACTTGGAGTTTCCCTGTTTCGCGCATGGACAATTATACGTCGCGTGTTCGCGCGTCGGAAAACCGTCTTCTTTGTTTATTTACGCACCACAAAACAAAACAAAAAATATAGTTTATGAGAAAGCTTTAAATTAATTAACAGACTGTATTTTAACAGTGTGTGTCTGTGAATATCAAATTTAAACCTTATAAATAGCCAGTATTTCAGGATGAGGCAGTACGAAGTCTGCCGGGTCAGCTAGTCCACAATAAATATGATCAATAAAAATATATTTTGTCTTCCTATTCAAAATTTTATATGCGAAGTTTTGACATCAAATGGCCCTATTACATTGAACAATTTAATTATGTTACCCAGCAATAGTATTTTTAAAACAACTGAACCATTTTATGTACACAATTTTTCTAATAATTATGATATACTAATTGGCAGAAAATTGTTGAAAAATGCACAATCAATTATAAATGACAAAAATAGCACTGTTTGATAAAACATATAAATTAATAACTTCAAAATCAGGAAAGAACCAAATATCCAAAAGGCAATAGAACCAATTAAAAAATCACCTCAGAAATCAATCAGAAAAATTTATTTTGGATTGTTTCGATTACGTCACCTGAATCAGGAGGAAACATCAAGGTTGAGAGGTTTATTAAATAAATTCAAAAATCTTCAATATGAAGAAGGAGACAATCTAACATTTACAAATACCATTAAACACGTACTAAATACAACACATAACTCCCCAATTTATTCAAAACAGTACCCACTTGCTCAAGCGCACGAAATTGAAGTCGATAACCAAGTACAGGAAATGCATATTCAAGGATTAATTAGGGAAAGTAATTCACCATACAATACTCCTACCTGGGTAGTACCCAAAAAACCTGATGCATCTGGAAAAATTAAGTATTGAGTAGTAATTGATTATAGAAAGCTAAATGAAATAACTATTCCCGACAGATATCCAATACCAAACATGGACGAAATCCTTGGTAAACTAGGTAAATGCCAATATTTTACAACTATCGATTTGGCAAAGGGATTTCATCAAATGGAAATGGAGAATCAATACCTAAAACTGCATTCTCCACCAAAAGCGGTCATTACGAATACCTTCGAATGCCATTTGGCCTTAGAAATGCACCTGCTACTTTTCAAAGGTGTATGAATAATATCCTTCGACCGTTGCATCATAATTTTTTCCACATCCCTTACCGAACATTTAAATTCATTACAGCTAGTTTTTTCCAAACTTGCAGAAGCAAATTTAAAGTTACAGTTAGATAAATGTGAATTTAAAAAAAAGGAAGCTAGTTTTCTTGGTCACCAACCAAACCCCCTTAAAGTTAAAGCCATAGTTTCATATCCAATTCCAACAAAAGTAAAAGAGATCAGAGCTTTCCTTGGATTAACCGGTTATTATCGTAAATTTATCCCAAACTACGTAGACATAGCAAAACCAATGACCAAATGTTTAAAAAAAGGAGCAAAAATAGATACACAAAATATCGACTACATGGAAGCATTTAAAAAACTTAAAACATTAATAATTAGAGAACCAATTCTCCAATTACCCGATTTCGAAAAAAAATCACTTTAACCACAGATGCCAGTAATCTAGCCCTTGGAGCCGTACTTTCTCAAAATGGTCATCCTATATCCTTTATTAGCAGAACACTTAATGAACATGAATTA